GGGGCTCGATCCCACGACCCTGAGATCATGACCTGAACTGAAATCAAGAGTCCGACACTTAACCGACTGAGCCACCCAGGTGCCCCTACAGAGCCATCTTATTAAGAATTCTTTAATGAGGGCGCTTGGGTGGCTCAGTCGTTAAGCGTCTGCCTTCAGCTCAGGTCATGATCCCGGGGTCCTGGGATCAAGTCCCACATCGGGCTCCCTCCTCGGGGGGAAGCCTGCTTCTCCCTCTCCCGCTCCCGCTGCTTGTGTTCCCTCTCTCGCTGTGTCTCTGTCTGTCAAATAAATAAATAAAATCTTTAAAAAAAAAAAAAAGAATTCTTTAATGACACTCCTGAATCCTTTAATTTTCATTGAGAGACCACCCAGTTAGACACATATATGAAAATACAGCTGAGTATGTATACTTAGTTACAGTTGCTGATGCTACACATTTTCCGATTGTATGAATAATGGAAAATAGATAACCGGGAAGGAAGGGAAGGAGAGGAGAATGAAATCAAGCTCTAGTGGGAGGTGTCCAGTGTGGAGACTTTGATGACCAAGCACTAGTCAAAACACCAAAAGCACCAACCTTCCAGAATTTTATTTCTTTGAGTTTCCCACTGGGCCCATACAACCAGGCATGGATCACTTCCATGAGTATCTGAACTTGGCACCTCACACAGTTTGGATTGTTTTCTCCAGTTTTCCTGAAGACACGGTCCCCAAAACATGTGTTTTAAAAGTAATATTAATGATAACTTAGGGTTTTATGCTGACCTGGAGTTGAACAGCTTCCTGTCATAGGCAGCACAACCCAAGACAGTGTCTTTATGATTTTATTTATCTATTCTTTATTTATTTGAAACAAAGAGAGAACACAAACCGGAGGGAGGGAGAGGCAGAGAATCTCAAGCAGACTCCCCACTGAGCACGGAACCTGATGCGGTGCTCGATCTCATGACCCTGAGGTCATGACCTGAGCCGAAATCAAGAGTCAGACACTTAATCTGCTGAGCCACCCAGGCACCCCTGGGCCGTGTCTTTAATCACCATTTTCACTGGGCTCCCTTGGTTTCTCACCAGTTACAAAGGTGGAATCATCCTGATTATCTGCTAGTTAACAATTTGGACAGAGAAGGCATGGCAGATCCTGATGGAACATTTGGAAGGACAGATCCATTAGCATGATGGAATGCTAAAGCCAGATGTTGGGCAAAAACAAATGCTGCTTGTAAACTTACCCAACATCTGATACACAAAATAATACTATGATTTATTTATACAGCACTTACTACATATTAGGTCCTGTAACATTCATTATATGCACTATTAGGAATTCTCATCATAACCTGGGTAATCAGATAGCATCACCCCAAAGTTAACAATCAGAAAGCTAGGGTCCAGATGAATTGGAGAAGGTGCCCACATTCACAGAGTGGAGAATCCAGTATTCAAATCCAGATCCACTTGTCACAGAAGGCTTTGAACTTTCCTCAATATGTCACTCTTTCTTATAGAAAATATTTAGCACTTAGAAGCCATTTTCCTTAGCAATCAACCTAAAATCTCTGCCCCAACTCAGCTACTCCTCCTCTCATTGTTTTGCAAATTGGTTAGGGAGTATCTGCAATACCTCTTCTTTTCTATTATGCTCTATAAATTATTTCATCAAATTTTTATTGAGCCCCTATCATATGCCACATCATGTCCTTAGAGTTGGCTGTGGTCCACCAGTTTATGAATCCCAATTTCTTGGGGAATTTCATACTCTATCTGCTCCATTCATCAAAAATGTAGATGGGCTGTCATTATTGAACAACTCTTTTGCAACTAGAGGGTCACAGCCTCCTGTTAAAGATATCATTTCTGCGGTTTGCAAGTAACATTTGTTTTTAAAGGAAATAGAATACAATAAGAACTATCTGTGTGCACTAAAGGAAACATTACAATGACAATTTTTGTTTGTTACATACGCATTCCCGCATCCTCAAGTGTGCATTGCAATATAAAATGTATTTCTTAATTTGGGTGTCAGCCAAAATACTTTGAAAAACATTTCTCTACACTAAAGGCTCTTGGGAGCAGAGAGGAGGTCTCTCATTTTTCTGTCTCCAATTGAGCACATTATTACCTCTAATTTTGGGAGAAAGTTCATAGCTTGTTGACTCTGAATACCGACTGAGAATTGCAAATGATGTTCTGACGTTCTTAATGTGATTGTCTATCCCTTCATTTATCAATGCATTATCGGACAGTGGGCTGTCTGGATAGCATAATTCAGTGACTTTTTGTAAAGGAAAAAAAAATCTTTCATTAGTAATGCACTCATTTATTCTTTTCCAAAACACTTTTCATCATGTGGACACGGACTTAGCACCTTGAATGTTAATTATCCACTTAGCTGATACTAGATATTCCTGTGAGGAAAATATATTTGATGCGTAAGTCTGGGAGAGAAAAAAATTCAGAAGCATATATTTTCAGTATAATTTCTGCAAGGCCAGTTTTGGAAGGTCACATGGGACAGGAAACTCTAGGTCAAACCCTAGATTTGTTGCCCCATCTCATGATTATACCCAATTTCCATGAGTCTACTACACCGTTAGTTGGTTAAATTATTTGTGGACATGAATCTCTGTTTTCCAGGACCTGGGGGTTGAGGATCTGGAAAGATGTTAGTCAAAAGGTACAAACTGCCAGCTATAAAATGAATAAGTTCTGGGATGGTGACTATAATTAACAATACTGTATTATATACTTGAAATTTAAGAGAGTAGATCTTATATGTTATCACCACACACACACACACACACACAAATCATAATTATGTAGAGGATGAGGGTGTTTACTAATCTTATTGTGGGATCATTTTGCAATGTATATATGTGTCAAATCACCACATTACATACTTGAAACTTACAAATGTTATACATCAATAATATCTCAATGAAGGTGGAAAAAATTTCATCAAATAAACTCCTAAAGGATAGATTAAAAAAAATGAATCTCTGAATTACGTCAAATCGTAATTTTGTAACACAGACACAAGAATAGGATGGAAAATATGAAAAGTACACCCATCTTCCACAATGCATATCCACGGGATTTTATTGTCAAGCTCACACAGATGTTGAGTGGAGACTGGGTCCAAAGTCCAAAAAAACTCTGGATTGTTTGGAGTTGGGATAAAAGGGGAGAAGATTTTGGAAGTGAGAAAGGAAACCAAAGTTTCAAGAGGGAATTGGTGCCAGAAATTGGGCCATTACTACTCCCCAGTGCCAAAGGCAGAATGGTAAAGTTTAGATAAGGGATAAAAATTCACATCTCTTCTGGGTGAGGAGACATCCCCTCAGTGCTGGATAAATTAAAAATCAACTTTGTTTTTGCCTGCTACAAAATGTTTTGGCCCAGAATGGAATCAGTGTGGATGAAAAAAAAAGGGGCCAAATATTCAATTCATTTGGAACTACTTGCATCCTTCCTATGGAGAGAGCCTGGGCTTGCTTGGGTTGGTCAACACTCAACATTTTCTTTTGACTTCCCACTTTTTTTTTTTTTTTTATGAGAAATGTCTGCAAGTCTCAATTTAGGAGTATCCATGGGTTACAAATTGTTGGATTGGAATCTGTGATCAGAAAGGAAAACCTGGCTTTTGAGTTGCATGAACTGAGTCCTTTCCAACATTATGATTACCTGCAACACTAAATTTGGAATTAGAAGTGTGATGAGACTGATGGCAGAAAGACCAGGAAAAGTACATCGATTTGTTCTGAAATCTTACAGGATTATGTACGTGAAATGACCTATATAAGTGCAGAATTTTCAGGTTGAAAATAGCTATTGCCAAAAGCCCTAATAATGCCCCAGCTGATTCTGCCCCATCTACTCCTGAGCATTCATTGAAACACAAGGAGAAATCCGAGGAGGTGAGCTGAGGAAAATCCCCTATATCCAAGAGGCACCCCTCCCTTTGTTTCCCCATAGGGTTTCATCCAAGGTATTAAAATGGTTGTTTCACATGTCATCCCCTTATCCCAGCCTCAGTGACATAAAAGAGAGCTGGAAGAGATAAAGATTTATCAGTATCAATTACCCAGACATTTCTGTTCATGAGTTTATGACTCATTGAATGAGCTATCTTCTACATGGTGACTATGGGGGAATGCTTGATATCATGTATTGTCCTTTTGCCTAGCCACCTGGTCTCACATTAACTGAATCCAAAATAGTGGCGCAAAGAAAAATCTGGTCACCTCTATCTCCAAGACATTATAAAACAAGACATGGTATATACACAAGAGGATGATCTGAAATGTTAATTCTACACAAAAATTCATTTTGCGGTCAGAAAAAATGTTCTTCTGTAATCAAAGTCCTGCTGATAACTCTTCCCTGGATTGCAGACACTGTCAACATTGGAAAAGCATCCAACCATTCACTTAAAATTGTGCTCTGTGAGTCCTTGCTAAGATCCCACTATCACCAAGCAATGGCAGCTCTCCAAAATCAATCTCAGATACCTGGATGATTCTCACCAAAATTTGGTCTCAAGGTTACAACACACCAGGTGCTCAGCCCCTGACCCCTCTGGGGGCCCTCCCGGGTTCACTTTGGCCTCTGATGAGTTAATATGTGCAAAAGACCATGCATGCTTGGGTAATTTACTTATTAAAAACATTAAAAGCTTTTGGCTCTTTGACATCCAAAGAGAAAGCAAAGCAATCGAGTGACTCCTGACCCTAGCTTATCAGATGACGGGCATCATGCTGTCAAGGCCTCATCACTGACCATGTGAGGAAGGCCACATTTTATAGGTGTTTACAACAGTTTAAGGTTCATGCTGCCAAGCTGTGTCAACACCAGGCCACACAGGGCCACCAGCCCCATGAGTGAGGCCAAGCATAAAAAGAAAACCAATGGACAGAAATCCTTATCTAATGAAAGATCACATCTTATTTTTTTTCCCCACAAACTTTTAAAATCACCCAAACAGAGGAAAGCAACCTTACCTTGCAAATTTCCCTCCATGGTCATTGGTCGTTCAGCATCCATTGATTCAAGTACTGAAATATTACAGAAGGTGTCAGCGAGCCAGATCTCCATGAGAACGTGGCCCCAACTTTGTGCTGAAACAACAAGCAATTTTTTTTAGCCATCGTGTTCTAAGAGCAAAAACCATCACCTGCTCGGCAGGCTTTTGGACTAGACTTGGGCGGGGGGGGGTGGCGTGCCTGCATTAATATAATACTTCATGGTGTTAGCCCTTCATAGGTTCTGTGGGCGTTTGTGGGTGTGTGTTTGTGTGTGTGAGCACCTGCTCGCATGCCTACATGTCATGTGCATCTAAGTTGTGGGCAAGAGTGATACGATAGCCCCCATATAATCGCTCTCTGTCTGGAGTCAGTAAGTCTGGATTTAACACTGAAAGAAAAAAAAACAAAACATTATTTGGTCATTTCAGAAATCACCGTATCTGAAGCGCATTGGAACACGCTGGTGGATGAAGAGGGATTTTTGTGTACCTGAAATGTCTCATGTCCCGTGCCCGCATTTATATTTGGGTACTTTGCAAGGGGTCTGAGAGTAGCTGTGGGAATGCCACGTGCCCAAATAACTGGGAAGCACCTGATTGTGGGAGTGTATTCTTTTGACCATTCAACTTTCTCTCTCCTAGTTCCCATTTTAAAAGAGTTATCACTTGCTCACAAGATCTTTTGTATAAATGGCATATCTCTAAAGTCAAGTCTTCGGGCTGATAGCCAGCTAAATTCCACAATTGATACATTCATCTCAAAACTCAAATAATTTGGACTTGAATTGTCATTGGTTTTGCACTCTTATGAGGGCTAACTCAAAAGGAAATGACTTGGTATTACAAATTTGGTTTTATGTACACACACAGAGTAGCAAATTCACTCACACTATACTTGAATGGGCGGTGAAAAAAAAAAATGGCTGCTTTAATTGCCATAAGTCATCTAAGCCTTCTTCAAGAACCTGGGGCGCCTGGGTGGCTCAGTCAGTTAAGCGTCTGCTTTCGGCTCAGGTCATGATCCCAGGGTCCTGGGATTGAGCCCTGTGTCGGGCTCCCTGCTCAGTGGGGAGTCTTTCTCTCCCTCTGCCCCCTCCGAAGCTCATGATCTCTCTCTCTCTCAAATGAATAAATAAGAAATCTTAAAAAAAAAAAAAATTTTTTTTCTTCCCCCACCTCTTCTGCCCTCTCCTCTCCCACACACCCAGCATACTGGATCATATGGGAAGAGAAAGAAGGTGACCCTGCCAAGTTTCATGGTGAGAGCCCATCTCCACTTGAAAGTCATTGCTTTCTGGTAACTAAGCTTCTCTCAGATAAATGCTCAATCTTATGGGTTTCTCCCTGTTCCTTCTGGAGATGGTGTCTGTGTATGAGGAGGCTCTCTGGCTTCGAGACAGTGGGAAGATGGCAGACCAGATTCACAGAGGAACTCTGGGCACACCTGGAGTCTGATGAGGACTGGCAGGTCTGGCCGCATGCCTAGACATCTTTTCATGTGTCAGTCCTCTGGTCTCATAGAATCCATGCACCATTGTGTCTTCATTCTGACTCTAGACCTCTGTTAGCTCATAGTGCGACCCAATACATATCCTCAGGGAGGACTGTGGGAAATTCTGAGACCCGACAGGCCACAGGCTGAACGTGGAAGTAGTGAAGGCTCAGGTACATCTATCAAACCCAGATGCCACCACGTGGCTCCAGCACCCAACAAGGCCTTTCTAAGCAGAATGAGATTTCCCAGATTATGCCAAGGAAGTAGGCAAGGCTTCTCCCCTTGACCACCCAAAAAATATCTGATCATTTCTAATATCCAGATCTGTTCACCCTATTCCTTTCCCCCAGTATTGATTCACCAGAATTCTAGCTTTATACATGACTTCCCTGAATAAGACTCACATTTTCCACCTTCCCTTACATCTAGGTGGGCAAATGACCAAGTTCTGGCTAATGAGATATAAGTGAAATGTCAAACTTGGGGAAGTATCCTTAAAGTTAGGGAGTGCCGTCTTCTTTATCCTTTTTTGTCTTTACTGGCTGGGATGTAGATGAGATGGGTAGAGCTAGAGCAGCTATCTTGGACCATGAGGCAGCCTTGGAATGGAGATTATGGTAGAGTCAAACGAGAAGTGGAACCTGAGTCCCTTATACTGGAGAGTGCCATCTCATCATTGAACTGCCCTCTTCCAGACAACTGCACCAGAGAGAAATATGTTTCCTCTTCCTCTTTCTGACTTGCAAAGACATCCCTTCGGAAAAGTGAAGCCCCATGGCTCAGCTTTTTTGATGGAAGCGGGGGCCTTCCTCTGGATTAAATAGATGATCTTCTCTCCCAAGCTTGGCTCCAAATAAGTTAACAAGAATTTAAAGGAATTTCAAATTTTTTTTCTTCCCACAAAGCCTAACTTGCTGCAGATGCAACACAATCCTATGTCTGATTTTAGAAGCTGAGTATTGTGTCCCTCTTTCTTTCTGCAGTTCCATTAGAATAATCTTACTCCTCCTTAGGCAACTAAGTAATTTGGACAAGATAGGCAGTGGTGGTTTGTGGGAAGGGAAATGGGAAATCATGCACTAAGGAAAAGGGAAAAGAAAGGACATAAAGGACATGCCATCTCCATTTAAATATTCATATATGTGTAGACACATGCACACATATGCATATATATGTGTGGGTTTGTGCATATATATATATACACACACATACCTTATGTGATTGAGTAATTCCTGTCCCACTGACCTGTAAGCACAAATGAGGTAATATTAACTTTATTTCTTCAAGTTCAAAACTCCTCCTAGCCAACCTAGAGCCTCAAGAATCTCTCTCTCCATCAAATATGCCTCTCCAAACTTATTCCCGGGCAGGGTCTTGCTGGCCTAAAGCCTTAGCCAACCAGTCCAAGAGACACCACTTCTGGGCAGCCCCTTGCCATGATGCACACTGGAGGCACCGAGAAAGGGGCTGGATCAAAGCTCTCGCTGTCCCTGTGCTGGGCCCCTTTGCCAGGTACACAGATTTCACAACTGTGCATGGTAGCCGGCTACCCCAAAGCCACTCACCGCTCCACCTTGAAGCCAGCACTGCTGCCCTTAGAGAGAGGGGCTCCTCCCTCTCTTGGGTTCCCCTCCTTGGGTTCCCACACCTGTCAAATGCTTGAGATGAGTCAGTCCCTCAATCATGACTGTGTGGCTCTTAGTCACTCTGTAGATGGTCCAGAAATGGAGAGTGTCTCCATTCTTGGGTGCCTGGTCACTTGGGCTCCAAAGCAGCACTGCTTGAACCCAAAAGTTATTACAACACTCACAAAGATTCCCAATGAATTTCTCTCTCCGTCCTGGCGATGAGACTTCAACCAACCATTCATCCTACTGTCCCCCATTCTCCATCCAAGGAGCCAAGCACAAAATCTCAGCTCCTGTGTGCTGCCATCTTGCACACCCCTCCCATCTTGTCCTGCATGAGGCTCCCCCAAGTTCCCAGGCTGTAGCCTGGCCTTCCATCATCAGCTTAAATGCACCATGTTCCCTCCAACCATGGGCCCTCAGCATGAGCTGTCCCCGATGCCTAAAACCTGGCACCCCGCATCACACTAAAATCTTTGAGTGCATGGGCCCTGGTCCTCCTTCAGATCTCAGTTCAAATATAACTTGCTCAGGGCAGCCTTCCCCATCCATGACACCCTTCCCTCTATCACCTATCAGGATGACCCACTATACATTCAGTTGCCCTAATTTCTTTTTATTTTTTTTAAAGATTTATTTATTTATTTGAGAGAGAGAGAGTGCGCATGCGCACGTGGTGAGAGGAGGGGCAGAGGGAGAGAGAGAATCCCAAAGCAGACTCCTGACTGGACAGGGAGCTGGATTCAGGGCTTGATCCCAGGACCCTGAGATCATGACCTGAGCTGAAATCAAGAGCTGGCCGCTTAACCGACTGAGCCACCCAGGCGCCCCTAATTTCTCTTTTTAATGCTTCACACATACAATTCTCTTATATTCCTGCATGCTAGATCCTGGGCATACACAGACTCGAGAGTAGCATGATGATCTTGCATTCTGGACCTCACTTCACCCCTTGGAGACAGGCCCTAGATCGCCTCATCCTCACACTGCAGTTGGGATGATACAACATCAGGGAAATTGTGGATAAATGCGCAATGAATTCCTCCCAAGCATAAGGCACTGAAGAATTTGGACACATAGGCTAAATCTTCTGATATAAGTTTACATCAAGTGACATAGTCTTAATAATTTAAAGAAAGAGAAAAGAATATACCTTAGAAAATCACAGTTTCGGAATGTTTCCTTTGACATATCCAGATTGACACCTAGAGGAATGTCTAAACACTTGCTTAATTCATTTCTCTAAACTAGTGTAACAGTGAGTGTTGGCTGGATTATCCATTATTAGGAAGACGCCCATGTTGATTCAACTTTCTGGTTCGAATGCCGCCCCTCACCTTTCCAAAGCAAGCCATAGATCTTACTCTGAATGCCAGTTCTCAGGACTTTGGTTGGCCTCTCCCTAATCTTTTCTGGGATATAAGCAGAGGTGTACAGGAGCTGGTCTGAACAGACCCCAAGAGCCCATGTGTGCCTCTCTTCTCAAATCTGCTTCCAGGGCGCCGCACAAGGGAGCTCAAAACTGGCTATGGCGGGAGTATTATGGAAATCAGCCAACACCATGAAAGAGCTTTTGTTCCAAAGAGCTGGTCGTTAAACATTTACCAGCACACCATTGGAGGAAAGAAAAGCCATAACCCAAGGAAGAATCATGTTTTTAAATGAGTTAATTTAGGGCCACTTGGCCCTGATTATATCTCCTCTGTATAATAAGTATAAATACCTATGTATTGCTACTTATCTACCATGTTATTTTTAAACCTTGCCTGTGTTTCTTGGGTGAAACTCCGAAGCCACAGTAAGATGAAATAGAAAAGCAAGATTAAACAGAGCCTCCAATGTAGACATTTCTCACTAAACTCAGAGTTGTTCACCCACTCTGACCCCACTGATACCGATTATGGGACTTGTCGGCATCTTTTTCCTGTTTGGTTAAAAAGGAAAAGTGAATGGTTTGTTCCACTTGAAGATGATGGTCAGAAACAGTACAGGATGGGGCACCTGGGTGGCTCCATCGTCTGGCTCGGGATTTCGGTTCAGGTTGTGATCTCGGAGTCGTGAGGTCAAGCCCCGCGTTGGGCTCTATGCTGAGTGTGGATCCTGCTTAAGATTCTCTCTCTCCCTCTGCCCCTCCCCTCCTTTCTCTCTCTCTCTCTAAAAAAAAAAGAAAGAAAGAACGACAGGAAGTCAGAAAGAAAAGGAAGGAAGGAAGGAAGGAAAGAAAGAAAGAAGGAAGGGAGGAAAGAAGGAAGGGAGGAAAGAAGGAAGGGAGGGAGGGAGGGAGGGAGGGAGGGAGGGAGGGAGGGTGGGAGCGAGGAAAGAAGAGAGCGAGGGAGGAAGGAAGGAAGGAAGGAAGGAAGGAAGGAAGGAAGGAAGGAAGGAAGGAAGGAAGGAAGGAAGGAAGGAAAGAAGGAAGGAAGGGAGGGAGGGATTGAGGGGAAATAGTACAGGAAAAAGGAGGTGGAGGGGTAATTACTGAGACATCCAGGACACTTACCACGTCTAACCATGGATCTTCCACCCTGTTCCTCTTAGCCCAGGCTTGTTCCGATGACAGTTCTGATCTCTGCTCACTCCGACTCTTCTTTTCATCCTATTAAGAACCAGAGTTGTTTCATAATAAAGAGTTTTAAAACTAAACGTTAAAAGTTACGGAGAGAAGTCAGAAAGCGCGCTGAAATAAATGACAAATTCTGTGAATAATCTAATAGTTTTGGAAATAAAGATTCCTTACATTCATTTAACTAGCCAAGGCCCACATTTCCCTTCCTCTTCTCTCCGGCTTTGGAATAAAACAACTCTAAATTTAAACTTACACCAAATCATATAAATTCTCCATCTGGAGCCCAATTTTGATAATATGTCCTTTGGGATCGATCTCCCTCTCCGTCTTTACTTAAGTGAATTTATAAATTCATAATGCAGTCTTCTGGTTCTTTGAAAGGAGAAGATTAACACGAGATAGCAAATGTCCTCAGTGGCTTTAAATATACCCATGCTCCTAAGCATATAGGAGCATTTGGGGGCTATAAGAAACAGACAAAATGCAGTGTGACCTCAGGACAGAGGGGAAGGAGGCTGATTTCAAAGATTTGGACCCAACAGAGACGGAGCTAACACTTACATGATATTTATGGTGTGTCAAACAGTGTTCCAAGCACTTTACCTGTATTGACACATTTAATCCCACCAAGATCCTGAGAAGTAATAATTGTTATTATCCCTACTTAAGAGTTGGAAAAAACAGGGCAAAAAGAGGTGAGGTAACTTTCTGGCGAGCACATACGGGTAAGTAACCAAGCTGGGATTTGAACCCAGCATTCTGCCTTACCCCTGCCCTATCTCCCCAAACATATGTGTGAGGTAGAATCACCCAGCTGTGGCACGGCCTGATAGTTATGCCTCATTTGCTTAATTACCTCCTTGAACTACCTCAGCCTATGTTTATGTGGAGTCCAGGGACCACTCACATCAGCAGCGCTTTGGCACTGGTTAAGAATGCAGATTCCCAGGACCCTGCACAGACCTAACATGCTCCCCTGGGTCACACACACACACTGATACTTGAGAACCAGAACCCACAATACGTCGATCCCAATCTGGGGTTTCTGGTAAGCAGTGGGTTTCTTCGAGTCACTCTCTTATTGTGTGCCATATGCCCAAGTCTAAATCAACAAGGAATTTTGGGGCGCCTGGGTGGCTCAGTCATTGGGCGTCTGCCTTAGGCTCAGGTCATGATCCCAGGATCCTGGGATCGAGTCCCACATCGGGCTCCCTGCTCGGCGGGAAGCCTGCTTCTCGCTCTCCCACTCCCCTGCTTGTGTTCCCTCTCTCACTGTGTCTCTCTCTGTCAAATAAATAAATAAAATCTTAAAAAAAAAAAAAAAAACAAGGAATTTTGCCAGGGATGCTGTCAAAGGGGGAGAGAATCGATGGCTGGTCCTCAGGTCAGCCTCTGCCATGATGAAGATTCCGAGGAACAATGAGATAGTCAAAAAGTCAGTAACAGGGGAAAGGCAAGATCTCTGGTCTAGGAGCTGACATACTGGAAAACGACATCTCTATAATGAAGAGCTGTGTGGGGTTTGTTTGTTTCTTACGTGAAACAATAGAACTTGAATGTCTTACTGGCTTTTTTTTTTCCTTACCCCTGTTAATATTTATTTACTTTTTATTTTTATTGTGTTATGTTAATCACCATACATTACATCATTAGTTTTTCATGTAGTGTTCCATGATTCATTGTTTGCCTATAACACCCAGTGCTCCATGCAGTACATGCCCTCCTCAATACCCATCACCAGGCTAACCCATCCTCCCACCCCCCTCCCCTCTAGAACCCTCAGTTTGTTTTTCAGAGTCCATCGTCTCTCATGGTTCGTCTACCCCTCCGATTTTCCCCCCTTCATTCTTCCCCTCCTGCTACCTTCTTCTTCTTTTTTTTTTTTTCTTAACATATATTGCATTATTTGTTTCAGAGGTACAGATCTGAGATTCGACAGTCTTGCACAATTCACAGCGCTTACCAGAGCACATACCCTCCCCAGTGAGACTGACTTTTTTTTATGATGATAGGTTTCTTTTATTTATTTATTTATTTATTTATTTATTTAATTTTTATTTACATTTTTTTATTCTTATGTTAATCCCCATACATTACATCATTAGATTTAGATGAAGTGTTCCATGATTCATTGTTTGTGCATAACACCCAGTGCTCCATGCAGAACATGCCCTCCTCAATACCCATCACCAGGCTAACCCATCCTCCCACCCCCCTCCCCTCTAGAACCCTCTGTTTGTTTCTCAGAGTCCATAGTCTCTCATGGTTCGTCTCCCCCTCCGATCCCCCCCCCCCTTCATTTTTCCCTTCCTGCTATCTTCTTTTTTTTTCCCCCTCAGGAAACAGAGGGTTGCTGGAGTGGTGGGGGGTGGGAGGGATGGGGTGGCTGGATGATAGACACTGGGGAGGGTATGTGCTACGGTGAGCGCTGTGAATTGTGTAAGACTGTTGAGTCACAGACCTGTACCTCTGAAACAAATACTACATTATATCTTACTGGCTTTCAATGTAATTTCAGCCACATGGGAAAGATCAAAGCATTTGATGCTGCCAATCTGTTGCCTCTTGGGTGTGGAAATATAGATACGATTGCAAACACACCTTTGTGAGGGCTTCCTTGTAATCAAGAAAAGCTCCCTATTGATGCCCCTTTTAAAAAATTGACCAGAGGGGCGCCTGGGTGGCTCAGTTGGTTAAGCGACTGCCTTCGGCTCAGGTCATGATCCTGGAGTCCCGGGATCGAGTCCCGCATCGGGCTCCCTGCTCGCCAGGGAGTCTGCTTCTCCCTCTGACCCTCCTCCCTCTCATGCTCTCTGTCTCTCATTCTCTCTCTCTCAAATAAATAAATAAAATCTTTAAAAAAAAAATTGACCAGATGTTCTAGTGGTGTTGTGTGGTGACCAATAGCAGCTGCATCAGCAGGGAGCATAGCATAACGTATAGATTTGCTGAATCGTTATGTTGTACACCTGAAACTAATGTGACATTGTGAGTCATCTGTATTTGAATAAAAAAAAATTACTAGAAAAAAATCCAGACTGTTTTGTTGTAGAGTAAGCCTGAACTGTGTTCAAAATCCTTGGCAACGTTCAGATATTATGATAATAAAAACCATTAACATCTATAATATCATTTATTTATTTAGCAAGTGTTTATTACATTTGTATTTTGAGTGCAAAACTTTATACTATAGGCTAAGAAGATGCCAAAGATAAAGGGGCTTTGCTACCAACAAGCTCAGAGAAAAGAAGGGAAAATGTCACACTATTTTAATTATGTAAGGGGTGGGAGTACCCTTTTTAAAAGGTACTTTAAATTATCCCTAAACTATAATAAACATGTTTTATCATGTAAATTTTTTATTTTTGGTAACTGTACTTGTACTCATGTTAGAGAACCAAACAGAAAGTCTATTAAGTTACCTAGACTTTTCAAACCTCCTGCCTTTAACATAACTACCCAATCTCCAATGAATGGAAGATGGTAGAAATTTTTTAAAAATCACCACTGAACTACAAAGATCTCTCAGTTTTTGCAAAAATTAAACCTCTAAAATGTTCATAACCTCCATAAACCTATATAACTTAACAGATTTGTTATTTTGACATAGTATGAGTGAAAACATCCAAGAGATGCTCAATGCATAGTTTGAATCTAAATCTATCTTGATTAAGACTTATTTATATAATGTCTTTAAAATGTTGCAGAAAAGAACTACCTCGGGTGCCTGGGTGGCTCAGTTGGTTAAGCGACTGCCTTCAGCTCAGGTCATGATCCTGGAGTCCCTGGATCGAGTCCTGCATCGGGCTCCCTGCTCGGCAGGGAGTCTGCTTTGCCCTCTGACCCTATCCCCTCTCATGTGTTCTCTCTCATTCTCTCTCTCTCAAATAAATAAATAAAATCTTTAAAAAAAAAAAAAAGAAAAGAACTACCTCTTCATATACATCCATTTCCTGTTGAAGGCCCACTAACCAGTATCTTTCTGTGTCTTTAGGTCCAGTCAGTGAAGCCCCATCTCATGTGGGGATTAAAGTTTATATTAAATATGCATGTAATGGACAGGTCCAAATTCTGCACTAGAAATGCAAAGACAACATTACAAAGTATAATCCACAGGCTGTCTGGAGCAGGGGGTGAGAGAAAGATGAGTTCCAGAAAGTCTTTACCAGGAAGAGAGCTTTTGCATCTTAAGTAATAAATAGGATCCTGTTGGGCAGGATAGCTGGAAAACTATATGCTGAATTATAGCATAAAAATGTTTAAATATCTGGAAACACGAAAGAACATGGGGTATTTGGGGAACCACAAACAACACCCCATGCCTGGAGTCTACAGTGAGCTCAACCTTTGAAGTACTTTCAAATTCTACTGAATTAGTAACTTTTAAAGTTATAAGAGAGGATTGAAACAAAGTTTCAGAGGTCTTGAACATCTAACTAAAAAGATCATGGACTTGATTTTGTAAGTAACAGGGAGTCAGTGAAGGTCCAAACAAAAAAAGAGTATCATATTTGTGTTTTAGAAAGTTGCCTTCTGAATAGCATGATGGGTGGATTGCCCAGTTAGGAAGCTACTGGAATTGTCAGGGTAAGAGAAGATCTAAATGTGAGCCAAGGAGGTGGGGGTAATAAAAGTAAAAGGAGCAAATACTATTTGTATCAAGTAGAATTTTACACTTATTTCCTTTATGAAACATTACCAAATATATTGAAGGTGAATCTGTCATTAACAGAGTACTTCCTGATTTGAGGTATTTCTCAAATTATTCCTTGGACTGCTAATTGCAGTTCACAATTTTTGGAAGTTTCGAGAAAAGTTAATAAAATTTCAAGATAAGTCTGGTCATTTATTAGATGGGAAAAAATGGATATTTTCTACATGAATTTGTAGATTACAAAACTAAACTAATAACGAACAGACCAAATAAATGGACCCATGCAGTGAACTCAACAAGACCAAATTAAAAAAATCCCATACCAGACACTAAGGCTGAATCAAATGCAATTATATAAAACCTAGGAGGCTACGGA